TATCCCTAGATAGTTTCATCTTTGTGATGCAATGGTAAATGGAGTTGTTTTATTAATTTCTCTTTCTGATCTTCTATTAGTGTATCAGAATGAAAGAGATTCCTATGCATTAATTTTGCCTGGTTTTGGTATCAGGGTGCTAGTGGCCTCATAAAATTAGCTTGGGAGCGTCCCTCCCTCTGCAATTTTTGGAAGAATTTGAGAAAGACATGTTAGCTGGTCTTTAATGCTTTATAGAATTCACCTGTGATGCCATCTAGTCCTGGACTTTTGTTTCTTGGAAGGTTTTAATCGCAGTTTCATTTCAATTTCATTACTCATGACTGGCCTGTTCATATTTTTGTTCAGTTAAAAAATTTTTTTAGATATATTTCTTTATTTATTTGGCTGTGTTGGGTTTTAGCTGTGGCATGTAGGTTCTTTGTAGTTCTTTGTAGTTCTTCTCTCTAGTTGTGGTGTGTGGGCTTAGTTCTTCTCTGGCTTGTGGGATCATAGTTCTCCAAGGATCAATCCTGTATACCCTGCTCTGGGAGACAGATTTTTTAACCACTGGACCACCAGGGAAATTTCTGTTCATCTTTTCTATTTCTTCCTAGTTCAGTCTTAGAAAGTTATACCTTTCTAACAATTTGTCCATTTCTTCCAGGTTGTCCATTTTATTGGCATACATTGAGTTGGCCAAAAAGTTCACTCAAATTTTTCCAGATGTTACAGAAAACCCAAACAACTTAGTAATTGGTCAACTTAGTAGTTGCTTGTAGTAGTCTCTTATGATCTTTTATGTTTCTGTGGTGTCGGCTGTAACTTCTCCTTTTCCATTTCTAATTTTATTGATTTGAGTCCTCTCCCTTTTTTTTTTCTTAAGGAGTCTGGCTAATGGTTTTATCAATTTTGCTTATCTTCTCAAAGAACCAGTTTTTAGTTTCATTGGTCTTTGCTATTCTCTGTTTTATAATATTTCATTTATTTTTCTCTGATTTTTATGATTTCTTTCCTTCTACTAACTTTTGATTTTGTTTGTTTTTATTTCTCTAGTTGCATTTGGTACAAGGTTGTGTTGTTTATTTGATATTTTTCTTGAGATGGATTGTATTGTTATAAACTTCCCTCTTAGAACTGTGCTGCTTTCCAGAGGCTTTGGGTCATCATGTTTTAGTTTTCAGTTGTTTCTAGATATTTTTTATTGCCTTTTTGATTTCTCCAATTATCCATAGGTCGTTTAGTAGCATATTGTTTAGCCTCCATGTGTTTGTGTTTTTGTAATTTTTTTTACCCCCTGTATTTGCTTTCTAATCTCATAGCATTGTTTCAGAAAAGATACCTGATACAATATCAGTTTTCTTAACTTTACTGAAGCTTGATTTGTGACCCAAGATGTGATCTATCCTGGAGAATGTTCCATGTGTTCTTGAAAAGAAAGTATATTCTGCTGTTTTCTGATGCACTGTCCTATATATATTAATTAAGTCTATCTGGTCTAATGTTTCATTTAAGACTTGTGTTTTCTTGTTAATTTTTTGTCTAGATGATCCATCCATTGGTATAAATGGGGTATTAAAGTCCCCCATTATTAATCGTGTTCCTGTCAATTTCCCATTATATGGCTGTTAGCATTTGCTTTATGTATTGAGGTTCTCCTAGGTTGAGTGCATAAATATTTACAATTGCTATATATTCTTCTTGGGTTGATCCCTTGATTATTAGGTAGCATCTTTCCTTGTCTTATTAACAGTCTTTGTTTTAAAGTCTATTTTGTCTGATGTGAGTATTACTGCTCCAGCTTTTTTTTTGCTTTCCATTTTTATGGAATATCTTTTTCCATCTCCTCACTTTCAGTCTGTATGTATCCCTAGGTCTGAAGTGGGTCTCTTATAGACAGCATATATATGGATCTTATTTTTTTTTATCCATTCAGCCAGTCTGTTTCGTCTGTTTCTTCTGGTTGGAACATTATTCCATTTACATTTCAGATAATTATCAATATATATGTTCCTATTGCCATTTTCTTAATTGCTTGTGGTGTGGTTTTCTTGGTATGTCTTTTTCCTCTTTCCCTTCCTTTTTTGTTCTCCTTTCTAGTGTTTTTTGCCTACAGAAGTTCCTTTAGCAGTTGTAAAGCTGGTTTGGTGGTGCTGAATGCTCTTAGCTTTTGTGTAGCTGTAAAGCTTTTGATGCTCTGTCAAATCTGAATGAAAGCCTCGCTGGTTAGAGTATTCTTGGTTATAGGCTTTTCCTTTTCATCATTTTAAATATATCCTGCCACTCACTTCTGACCTGCAGAGTTTCTGCTGAAAAATCAGCTGATGACCTTTTGGGGTTTCCCTTGTATGTTATTTGTTGCTTTCCCCTTGTTGCTTTTAATATTTTTTTGTACATAATTTTTGTTAGTTTAATAATATGTGTCTCAGTGTGTTCCTCCTTGGGTTTATCCTTTATGCAACTCTCTTTGCTTTCTAGGCTTGGGTGACTATCTCATTTCCCATGTTAGAAAAATTTTTTACCGCGATATCTTGAAATATTTTCTCGGACCCTTTTTCTTCTTCTGGGACCTCTATAATTCAAATGTTCATGCATTTAATGTTGTTTCGGATGTCTCTGAGTTTATTCACATTTCTTTTCATTCTTTTTTAAATTATTATTCTGTTCGACAGCAGAGATTTCTACCACTCTGTCTTCCAGGTCACTTATCCATTCTTCTGCCTCAGTTATTCTGTTATTGATTTCTTCTAATGTATTTTTTATTTTCAGTTACTGTCATTCATTTCTGTTTTATTTGTGTTTTAGTTCTTCTAGGTCTTTGCTAAACTTTTCTTATATCTTTTCAATCTGTGCCTCCAGTCTGTTTCTAAGATCTTGGATCATCTTTACTATCATACTCTGAATTCTCTTTCAGATAGATTGCTTATCTCCTCTTTATTTAATTGTTCTTGTAGGTTTTAATCTTGCTCCTTCATCTGCAACATATCTCTTTGTTACTGCTTTTTTTTCCCCTCAAACTTTTGTGTTTGTGATCTGCTTTCCAGGCTGCAGGTGGCAGGCACATGAGGGTTAGCCCTGGGTAATCTTTCCAAGCAATCAGCCACAAGTGCACAGAGCCAGCCCTGTCGGGGGCTTTTCCTAGTTCCTAGCAACAGGTGAGCTGGGGCAGCCCTGGCAGGGGCTTTTCCTAGCATTTGGCCACAAGTAAAAAAGGATTAGCCCCGGCAGGAGCCTTTTCTGGTGCCTAGTGGCAGGCACAGACAGCTCGCCCTGCGGAAACCATTCTTACCACCTTGCGGGTATGAGTAGGGGCTGACAGCATGGAGAGAGGCTTCAATGGAGCTCCACCCCCTGCACGTCACAATGGCGCTCCACCCCCTGCACGTCACAATGACGCTCCACCCCCTGCACGTCACAATGACGCTCCACCCGCTGCACGTCACAATGGCGCTCCACCCCCTGCACATCGCTCAGTAATGGCTCCGTGCTTCTGTGGTGGACCAGGCTTCCTCCACAAGTATTCCCAGTTGTGAGTTTTCTCATTCCTATCCCTTCAGGCTCTCCTGGCTGCTCATAGCCAGCAGCAGTCCTCTCAGCTTTTCTCTCCATTGCCTGTGTTCCAGCACCCAGGGCCCATGCACACTACAGACACAAGCCCCAGGCTCAGAGGTACAGGGTTGTGGCATAGACCATCTCTGTAGGTCTCACTTTGTCCTGCCTGCTATAGACCGGCTGTCTCACTGCCCTCCGACAGGCCCAGAGGATTTCCTTCTGTACCAGCCAATCTGCCCCTCCAGGAGGGGGGTTTCCCTGGGTGCGGGAACTTCTCAGCTTCTTCAGATCCCCCACCTAGAAGCAGATCCCATCCCACTTCCTGTCCTCTTCTTTTTCCCTTCTTTCGTCTTACATGGTTCCATATGGATCTACTTGTCCTTTCCAGTGTCCAAGGTCTTCTCCTAGTGTTCAGCCAGTGCTCTGTGTGAACCGTTCCATCTGTAGATGTATTTTTGATGCATCTGTGGGGAGAGATGAACTCCTTGTCCTCCTACTTCTCTGCCATCTTGCTTTTCCCTATACTAGTATGTATTGATCTAACATTTTTTTATTATCTAACCTATTATTTTTTTTTAGAAAATAGAAGACTTGTTTTTTGAATACATAACCAACAGAAAGTATTTACCATGTTGTCAGAGATGGAATAGGTAAATTGTAAAACATGAAGATACACCTACATATAAATCCTAGCTCTAACATATAGCTGTATAAATTTTGATATATCAATTTCTTCATGAATTTCAGTTTATCTACTTAAAAAATAACACTAATAATAGACACCTCACAAGGTTGTGAAATATACAATTAGAAAACTCATATAAAGTGCCAGGCAGATGGAAACCATTTAAATGAGCTCCTTTCATATCTTTTGTAGACTTTGTAATGTGCGTGTGTGCTCAGTCACTTCAGTTATATCCTACTCTTTGCGACCCTGTGGACTTTATCCTGCTAAGCTCTTCTGTCCATGGGATTCTCAGGCAAGAATACTGGAATAGGTTGCCATCCCCTCCTCCAGGGGATCTTCCAGACCCAGGGATGAAACCTTTGTCTCTTGCACTGCAGGCAGATTCTTTACCCACTGAGCCACCCAGGAAGCCCAGACTTTGTGATAGGCCTGTGCAAATTTGTTGGTCTTTTCTCCCACACCCCTGCAAAATAAGTCTAAGTATACCAACTCTTTGGAGACATTAAAAAATAAACACCTTTTCAAAGTGTCAGTATTTAAAATTCTTAGAATATGTTCTGTCAATATAAGTAATTATTATCATTAAAAATATCAAATCTAAGACCAAGTGCTTAAACATAAGGCAGTCTGGTCTATCCAGGCATATGTTTTGTGAAATATCAGGTTCTTTGTGCAATAGCTTAAACTTGCTAGGAATCACTCGTCTAGGTAAAAACTGTAAAAGATGCTCTCTTAGGTTAAAAGAGGCTTTATAAAATATGTATTTTTATGTATTTTAAAGGATGGGATGCTATTATGGACTGGAAAGATGTCTTATCAGGAGGGGAAAAGCAAAGAATGGGCATGGCTCGCATGTTTTATCATAGGTAAGTGTATTATATTTGTTACTATTGATACTATTTTATTGTAATCAAAAAGGTTCGGATAGGATCCCTTGTCCTCATTTGGTTTGAAAATATATTTCTGAAAAACTAGTGCTTAGAATTTATAGTATTTAAATTTCTTAGGTTATTTTTTAATGTGACAGAAATCTCCAAATGTTTGTCCTATTTATTTTATGTTGAGTAATGTTAGATGACAAAATTAAATTTTTATGTGTCCTAAGTTTGAAAGTGGGATTATTGCTAATTTTAAAATGTGAAGAATAGATAACCACTCTTATACTGTTGTGAACACAGTAGGTAGACAGTCAGTGAAAGTGAAAGTTGCTCAGTTCTGTCTAACTCTTTGCAACCCCATGGACTGTAGCCCTCCAGGCTCCTCTGTCCATGGAATTCTCCAGGCCAGAATACTGGAGTAGGTAACTGTTCCCTTCTCCAGGGGATCTTCCCAACCCAGGGATCTGACCTAGATCTTCCACATTGCAGGCGGATTCTTTACCATCTGAGCCACCAAGAAAGCCCAGATATTCAGATACTTCTCAATTAAATTATTAAATTAAAACTAAATTAACTTTCTAATTAGTCAGTGGCCTATAAAGCTTAGTACTGTTATCCTTGAGAGGATGCATATCTAATGGTAAAAGGAACCAACCAGCAAAAATGCTAATGGACTCAGAAATAAAGAAATGCAGGAAATAATTTCCATTGATAAAACTTTTCTATTTCTAACCAGCTTCATAGCCTTTTGGTTCAAAGTATCAAGCACAAGACACTGGAAAGAAGTATTGATGCTATTATGATTTGTTCCTGTTTTTTTTTTTATCCTATTCTGTGAAAAATAAACTCCGATGTTAATGTTAGGCCTCTGGCAATGAGAACCTAAGTTGTTACTTTCAATACTTATATCTTGGGCAATAAAGTTAGGTACATGGATGGCTGAGTGGACCATAAGCTGGGGCACATGTAATACTCTTGAAGAAGTGCAGTGGAAGCAATAAAACTTCTGTAGAAACTTTTGAAAGCTGATAAAAACTGCAAAAAAAAAAAATCAAGTAAGCATCAACAAACACTTAGCAACAAGTGGGCTATCAATTTTTTAAAAATCTTTTATTATGGAAAAGCCATTAAAAGTTCATCAAAAAAGAGAATATTGTAAGATGAACCTTATATTCCCATCATACTGATTCAACAAGTCTAATATTTTACAGCACTCTATTTTTTTTTACATAAAGCATTGTGAAGCAAATCCAAAATCATGGAATTTCTCATGAAATATTTTGACATCAATCTCTGAAATATTAGGATATTTTCTTACAGTATATATCATAACCATCATTAATACAATTAACAATAATCACTTAAAATTATTTCATACCTGATTCATATGCAATTTCCCTGATTGTCTCAAAAATATCTTTTTATACTTGGTTTGTTCAAACCAAGATCCAAACAACTTTTATGTATTGAATTTTGTTGTTATATATCTCTTAATTATTTTTTTAACTTAAAGAGTTGTTTCTTCTCTCTGCATCTGTGCCCCTCCCATCTTTTATGCTATTGACTTGTTGAAGAATCTAGGTCAGTTGTCCTTTAAGAATGTTGTCCTTTCAAGATTGATCTGATTGCTTCCTCTTGAGATCCCTTCACCTCTTTCTTCAATCTACTTTTTTTCTTATAAACAGGAAATTAGAGCTAAAAACTTGATTATATTTAGCTTCAGCCTTTTTGGTAAGAATATAACATGTAATATTTATCACTGAAAAAATCATGTATCATTTAAACAACTTTATTAAATATAATTAAGTGTTTATATTATAGAAGTAGAAAATTTAGGTGAGTAAAAAGAAGAAAAAATTCTGTTTTACTACTTGTAGCACATAAAATTTTAGTATAGTTTTTTCTCTATTTTAGTATACAAAAGTTGGTTGTTATTTTTAAATTTTTAATACATAACTATTTTCATAAAGTATATTAAAGTTTATATTCCTCTTTTTTTTTTTTCCATACCACATGGCTTGTGGAATCTTAGTTCCCTGACCAGGGATTGGATTCAGGCCCCAGCAGTGAAAGCACTGAGCCCTAACCACGGGAATACAAGGGAATTCCCTGTATCCCTCTTTTTATCTTGTATCCTATTATGTGTATTGCTATGTAATAGCTAGCCAAGGTTTGTTTATGTACAAATACATAAATGTATTTAAGTATTCAATGAATTTTGATAAATGCATATACAATATATAATCAATATCCCAATTAAGATAAAGAATGTTTCTATCACCCTAGGAAGTCCCTCATGCCCCTTCCAGTCAAATCTTTCCATAGACAATTTCTGTTTCCATTTCTAATGCATAAATTGGTTCTATTCTACAACTTCATGTAAATTAATCATGTGTGTGTGTGTTTGTCGCTGAGTTATGTCCAACTCTGTGCGACCCCGTGGACTATAGCTCACTAGGCTCCTCTCTCCATGGAATTCTCCAGGAAAGAATGCTGGAGTGGGTTGCCATTCCATCCTTCAGGGGATCTTCCCAAGCCAGGGATCAAACCCAGGTCTCCCACACTGTGGGCAGATTCTTTACTGTCTGAGCCCCAAAGGGAAGCCCCAAAATTAAATCATACAGTATTATTATTTTGTGTTATATCTGGAGTTTATAGATGAGAAAAATATTGTGTAATAACATGGTCTTTTAATAATATACATGGTTAGTTCAAGGATAAGGCAAACTAAAAAATATAAACCAAAATTTGCAAACTCTGAATTTTTAGTGAAGTATATATTTTGCAATGACTTTTTTGAGATAATGTGGTGAGATTCAAGAGTAAACTTTGTAGTATGAAATGTATGACTAGCTTGTTAACCACTATTACCTTGAATCTGTTTGTGCCTTATCCATAAATATTCAGTAAAATGATCCCCCGTATAGTTGGTGAAATGTGATATGGTGGTGGTTTACTTGCTAAGTCATGTCCAACTCTTGCAATCCCATGGACTGTAGCCTGCCAAGCTCCTCTGTCCCTGGGATGCTCCAGGCAAGAATACTGGATTGGGTTGCCATTTCCTTCTCCAGTTGAATCTTCCCAACCCAGGAATCAAATCCAAGTCTTGTGCATTGCAGGCATTTTCTTTACCAACTGAACTACAGTTGAAGCCTGAAATGTAAAATGATGGAATGTAATATGTGGCTGTAAATTTCGCATTATGTCAGTGTGTTAATAAGATAAAAACAAATGGCATTAATAAAAGATGCTAACCTAAAGAGATTTTTAAGTGCCTATAACTTAAATACTGACACTCATGTATCTAAAATATTTTGAGTATAAAATGATATTGAATAAAAACAAAGTTTTAAGTGTATTTGTGGAAAAAATTTAGTGATCCATGGGAAGATGAGCAAGTTGAAAAGCAGAACCTATTTAGAAAAAGATAAAAGAACATAGAAATACTAAAGCCAGTGAAGGACCTATATTGTTGGTGGAAATGTTAAGTTGGTGCAGCTACTGTGGAAAACAGCGTGCAGGTTCCTTAGAAAACTAAAACTAACATTACCATATGACCCAGCATTCCCACTCCTGGGCATATATCTGTACAAAACTATAATTCAAAAAGATACATGCACCCCAGTATTCACAGCAGTGCTATTCACAATAACTGAGACATGGAAGCAACCTAAATGTCCATCTACAGATGAAAGGATAAAGACGTGGTGCATATATATAATGGGATACTTCTCAGCCACAAAAAAGTGAAATAATGCCATTTGCAGCAACACAGATGCAACTAGAGGTTATCATACTAAGTGAAGTAAGTCAGAAAGACAAAGCAAATACCATATGAGGTCATTCATATGTGGAATCTAAAATATGACACAAATAAACGTATCTATGAAGCAGAAACATACTCATTAACAGAGAGAACAGATTAGTGCTTGCTAGGAGAGAGGATTTGTGGGGATGGACTGAGTAGAAGGTGGAGGTTAGCAGATGTGAGCTTTTATATATATAATGGGTAAACAGCAGGGTCCTGCTGTATAGCAAAGGAACTATGTTCACTGTCCTGTGATAAGCCATAATGGAGAAGGATATAAAAAAGAATATACGTACTATGTTTTATTATAGTTGATTTACAAAGTTATATTAATTACTCCTGTAAAACAAAGTGATTCAGATATATATGTATATATACATGTATATGTGTATATATATATATACATATATATATACACACATACCTGTATATGGAGAAGAAAATGGCAACCCACTCCAGTATTCTTGCCTGGGAAATCCCATGGACAAAGGAGCCTGGTGGGCTCAGTCCATGGGGTCACAAAGAATCAGATATGACTAAGAAACTAAACACATACACATATAGGTATGTGTATATATATATATATATATATATATATATGCCTATATATAGGCATATATATATCTGAGTCACCTTGCTATATAGGAGTAATTAATGTAACATTGTAAATCAACTTTAAAAGAATTTTTAAAAACCCAGTAAAGGAAAAGTATGATAATGAGAAATTGCCTCCCCTCTTTCTCAAAGGATTAATAAGAAGATTTGAATTGTAATGAGAAAGACTTGAGCTAACAACTAAAGTGGAGAACTTTAGCAAGGAGAATTATGTGTCAAAATCTTGGTCTTTTAGAGAGGATTTTAATTTTAATGTTTAAAAATGATTGGAAAAGTCCCATCTTATAGGAAATAGATTAGATCCTTCTTAAGCCTCACTCTTCTGATGATGCACCAAAAGAAAAATCTGAGAAACAGTGTTATCTAATGTTTTACTTAGTTATATCAGTTTCAGCTTACAGTCACTGCTTAATATATTTGCCTGCATGTATGCATGCATGTACACATGTGTGCATGTGTGTGTGCGCATACACACACACACACCACAAAACCAGTCCTACCAAGGAAACAAAATATCTTACATCTGCTAGGCTAGGAGTTGCTATGACAACAGTGTAAGAAATATATGTTTTTTTCTAATTCTAAAATAGCATCGCATCTATTTACCTCAAAGCACTATAAAAAATAAGACACAATGCAGTAACTTATTACTAAAAATAGAGTTGTACAAAAAAATAAAATTTTACCACAAACCTCTCAGATTTATACTTCCTTTTCTCCTCTATCATTTTCACTTAGAAAAATCATCCACAAACAGAAATAAACTCTGAGACAAATAATTCTTAATACTTTAACCTGAATAGTAACCAAAAGCTAACCAGTTAAACCACTTCTGTTGTCAAGGGGAAACTGCAGTGATCTTTATTTCTTTGGGTAGAGAGCTGATATTAAAATCAAATGTAGTTAAAGTTGGCTTTGACTCCCGTGTCTATTATCCTTACATTTAGTTGTTCTTGGCTATGCTGGGTCCCTGGTGCTGCAGGAGGGCTTTCCCTAGTTGTGGTGAGCAGGAGCCACCCTTTGTTGCGATGCATGGATTGCTCATTGTGATGGCTTCTCTTGTTGCAGGGCACAGGTTCTAGGCACATGGGCTTCTGGAGTGGAGGCCCAGCACTTGTGGCCTATGGGCTTGCTGCTCCATGGCATGTGGGAGCCTTCTGGACCAGGGATCCAACCAGTGTCCCTTGCATTGCAAGGTGGACTATTAACCACTGGGCCACCAGGGAAGCCCTCTATTATCCTTGACAGTGCCCCGCCCCAATAGGAAACAGGATCCTATTAATAAACAATCTATCAAGTTACTAGGAAAACTTTGCAGTGCCAAATATTTTTGCTGAATGAGAAATTACTACTGGTTTCAATTTTTATCTTTTCATTGTCATTTTATTGTATTCTTTTACAGTGCATTTTCTCCTGAAGCATAGTTGATTTACAATGTTGTATTAATTACTCCTGGACAGCAAAATGATTCAGTTATATATATGTGTGTGTGTGTACATATGTATATATTCTATTTTTAAAAATTCATTTCCATTTTATGGTTTGTCATATGATACTGAATATAGTTCGCTTACTATACAGTAGAATCTTCTGTTTATCCTTTCCATTATAACAGGTTACATCCGCGTAACACCAACCTCTCACGCCTTTCCTCCCCCAATCCCTCCCCCTTGGCAACCATAGACATGTTCTCTATGTCCATGAGTCTGTGTTTCACAAATAGGTTCATGTTCATATAAAATATAATGGCATATGGTATTTGTCTTTCTCTGGCTGTCTTCACTTAGTATGATAATGTCTGGTTGCATCTATGTTGCTGAAAATAGCATTATTTCATTATTTTTTTATGGCTAAGTACTATTTCATTTTGTGGAAGACACCAAATCTTCTTTATCCATTCATTTGTCCATATTCATTTAGGTTGCTTCCATGTCTTGGCTTTTGTAAATAGTGCTGCTTTGATCATAGGAGTGCATGTATCTTTTCAAATTATAGCTTTATCTAGGTATATGCCCAGGATTGGGATTGCTGGATCATATGTTCTTCCCTGGTTTCTCAGACCGTAAAAAATCTGCCTGCAGTATGGGAGACCCGAGTTTGATCCCTGGGTCCGGAAGATCCCCTGGAGAAGGGAATGGCAACTCACTCCAGTATTCTTGCCTGGAGAATTCCATGGACAGAGGAGCCTGGCAGGCTGCAGTCCATGAAATCGCAAAGAATCAAAAATGACTGAGCGACTAACACACACACACAGAAACTCGAATTTTAGCTTTTTGAGTAGTCTTAATAGTGTTTTCCATAGTCACTGTACCAATTCACATTCCTACCAACAGTATAAGTAAGACGTTTGCACTTTTCTTCACACCCTCTCCATCATTTATTATTCGAAGACTTTTTCATGATAGCTGTTCTGACTGATGTGAGTTGGTACCTCATTGCAGTTTTGACTTGCAGTCCTCTAATAATTAGAAGTAATGAGCTTCTTTCCATGTACCTATTGGCCATCAGTATGTCTTCTTTGGAGAATTATCTATTTATGTCTTCTGCCCATTTTTTGGCTGGGTTATTTTTTATTGTTGTTATTGAATCATAGGAGTTGTTTGTGTGTTTTAGAAATTAAGCCCTTGTCAGTCGTATCATTTACAAAGACTTTTCTGCCAGTCCATAGATTATTTTTTAATTTTGCTTATGGTTTCCTTTGCCGTGCAAAAGCTTACAAGTTTGATTAGGTTTCATTTGTTTGTTTTTGCTTTTATTTCTATTATTTTGGGAGACTGACTTAAGAAAACATTGATTTATGTCAGAGAATGTTTTGTCTGTGTTCTCTACTAGAAGTTTTAGGTGTCTTGTCTTGTATTTAACTCTTTAACCATTTTGAGTCTGTTTTTGCATGTGGTGTGAGAGTGTGTTCCAAATTCACTGATTTACATATGGCTGTCCAACTTTCCCAATACTACTTGCTGAAGAGACTATATTTTCCCCATTGTGTATTCTTGGCTCCTTTATCAAAGATTAATTATCCATAGATAAGTGAGTTTATTTCTGGGCTCTATTCTGTTCCATTGACAGAAAGAAGACAGAGAAGGGGCAAAATGATAAAGAGCTAGAGGGTGAAAATGAAAGGAAGAGAGTAAATGGAAGTATATGGTGGCAAATGTCAGGTGCCTCTGATAGTAGACAGTCATTTCCAGAGAAAAAAACTGAGCTAGTGAAAAAAAGTGTTGAGTGCAATCAGAAAAATATATATAGATTTTTCTTCCCAAAGAAAATAGTTGCAATGTTACCAGGTTAAATGCCAGCTCTAAATTTGTCAGATTAGCCATACTTACTTCTGCAGAGTCTTGGATCAACAAAATTCTATCAATAGTGATTAGGTACTTACATTATTGATAAAATTCTCTCTTAATAAATGTTTGCAAACAGAATTGTGACATGATTGATAATTAGCTACTAAAATGTATTTTCCTTGTAATTAGAACCTTGTCACCAAGAGTGAACTGTCTTTTGCCGCAAGGTCCTTTCAGTGACCTGTCATCTTTCTTCTGCCTCATAGTCATGATTTACCAATCTGCAATAAAGCTTATTGATTTATGAGCAGATATAAAAAAAATCTATTTAAAATCTAAGAAGAATATGAAATTCTATTCCAAAGAAGGGAGAATGACTGCTTTTTTTGCTTTATCATTTGTCATCTTAAACATGTCATTATTCTTTTTTCTCCTTTAAAGTTGTTAACATTGCAGTTCATATTGCCAAATAAAGATTTATAATTCAAAATGAAAATTATTCATTTATTTGTGCTTATTTTTAAGACCAAAATATGCATTGCTAGATGAATGCACCAGTGCTGTCAGCATTGATGTTGAAGGAAAGATATTTCAGGCTGCAAAAGGAGCTGGAATTTCCTTACTTTCTATAACACACAGGCCTTCACTTTGGTAAGTGTTTCCAATGCTCATTTATGATAAATGATTTTTCTTTTTGTTTCTTAAAGAATGACTTTGCTAAACTTTTTACCATAGAGCATAATACATTTCAGTTATTTTCTACCTGCATTTTGGTTAAGGTTAAACTATGCCTAAGAGAGTGAAATCACTCTTAAGCTAAAAGTTGAAGTTCCTGTACTTGATAACATATGACAGAAATTAGAGATCTTTTCCATATGCTTTTAAAAATTGTATTTATTTGTTTTATTTTTGGCTGCACAAGGTCTTTGTTGTTGCACACGGGCTTTCCTTAGTTGTGGCAGGACCTGAGCAGGGGTTACTATCTAGCTGTGGTGTGCGGACTTCTCATTACCGTGGCTTCCGTTGTTGCAGAGCGTGGGCTCCAAAGCGTGCAGACTTCAGTAGCTGCTGCTCACAAACTCAGCAGTGTGTGCGCCGGCTCTAGAGCACTGCCTCAGTAGTTTTGGCACACAGGTTTAATTGTTCCACAGCATGTGAAATCTTTCTGGATCAGGAATTGGACCAGTGTGCCCTGCATTAGCAGGTGGATTCTTAACCACTAGACAACCAAACAAGTCCCTTCATATACTTTTGAGTAACTCTCTTTAGGTTTTAATTTTTCCAAAACTTTGACCTCCCAATGGGTGGGACCTTACCAACATTAAACTGAAAACTGTGTCAAGGGAAAAATTGGAGTGTGCAAACAAAGCTTTTTTTTCCTCCTTTGTTTTTAAGAAAAAAATGAACAGACATTTTTTATAAATAATATTTCATAAAACCTAGCGGATGTTTCTCTTTTTTAAAAAAAGATCACCATTTTTATCACCCCCTTATGTTTTTATTGATTCATCATCACCATAAGAGTCACTAAGGCAGATCCAACACCTATTCTATTCCAAGCTTATTTTATTTAAGCCTAATAGCAACTTTATAGAGTATAAGTAGCCTAATTTTCCCCATTATACAGATGAAGAAACTGAGAGCTAGAAAATGAGGAACATAATTTTCTATGATCATATTCTCTGTACCCTCCTCTATTGCACTACTTATTGTAAGGAACTCAAAAGGTATCTCATGCATGATTCATAAAAAACTTTAATTCTCACTACATTCTACTGTCCACATTTGCATTTCTGTTTCATCAATCAAAATCTTTTCCTTTGATATGTTAGTAGGTATATAGTGGACTCTACATGCTATGGCTTCCTATTTCCCAAGGGATAGGCAGGATTCCTCCTCTCTCTCTGACTGGAGCATTCTGTAGCATGTGGCTGATCAGATTTGTGCCAAAGCTGTCATTATGTACATGACTTCAAACCTAGGCTAAATAGTAAGCTTTGAATTAATACTTAAAGCATTTCCAGCCCTTTCCCTTATAGAGAATGTTTGCTTTAAGACTGTGAGTAAGTTGAGTGTTCAGTTCAGATCAGATTTTAATTGTTCAAAGTTCTTTGACTCTGAATTCTACTTTTGAGAGGATAATCTGCTTCACACTTTATTTAAACATTCAGATTTTTTATATTTTTCTTTCTCAAAGTTTACCTGAAAATAGAGATTTTCATGAAGTGATCTTTTGTATAGGATTTTGTAGTTTGTCTCTCTGTTGTTAAAAGTATTAACCAGCATCTGGAGTGGTAGGACCCTGATTTGCCAGTCTCCCCAAAGGCAGTCTGGATCTAGTCCAGGATGAGTTAGAATCCATGTTGATAAGTGATATCTATGACGTTCTCTTGGAGAGAACCAACAGGAACTGATTTAAGACAATTATGACATATGCCTGTGGAGCCAGACTTGTAGAACTCTTGAGTCCTTTCTAACACAGTCCTGGTGTTTTTCTAACTTCTATCAATGAGTTTATTATGCATTCTTGTCATTTAGTTCCTATTCAAGTAGCCTAAAGTGGTGTTGGAAGCATGTTTAGCTGTCTTTTTTTTTTTTTTCCTTCATTTTAGAAAAAAGAGGTTTTTGTTGTTATTGCTTTTAAGACTTTTCTTTAAAAAAAAAAGTTTTAAGTTCATAGCAAAATTGAACATACAGAAATATGTCCATACTCTCTGTCCCTATACATGTATAGCCTCCTCCACGATCAACATCCCCCTCCAGAGTGGTATAATTGTTACAATTGATGAGCCTATATTGACACATTCTTAGCATTCAAAGTCCGTAATTTTCATCAGGATTCACTTACTGTTGTGCATTGTATAGGTTTGGACAGATTTATAATTACATGTGTCTACCATTATAGTCATACACAACTGAGCCTGCACACTTTCAGGCTCAGTTCAGTTCATTTTCAGTTCAGTTCAGTTCAGTCGCTCAGTCGTGTCCGACTCTTTGTAACCCCATGGATGCAGCTGCATGCCAGATTTCTCTGTCCATCACCAACTCCTGGAGCTTACTCAAACTCATGTCCATCAGGTCAGTGGTGCAATCCAACCATCTCATCCTCTATCATCCCCTTTTCCTCCTGCCTTCATTCTTTCCCAGCATCAGGGTCTTTGCCAATGAGTCAGTTGTTTGTATCAGGAGGCCAAAGTATTGGAGTTTCAGCTTCAGCATCAGTTCAGTTCAGTTCAGTTTAGTCTCTCAGTTGTGTCTGACTCTGTGACCCGATGGACTACAGCACGCCAGGCCTCCCTGTCTATCACCAACTCATGGAGTTTACTCAGACTCGTGTCCAATGTGTTGGTGATGCCATCCAACTGTCTCATCCTCTGTCGTCCCGTTTTCCCACCTTCAGTCTTTCCCAGCATCAGAGTCATTTCAAATGACTCAATTCTTTGCATCAGGCAGCCAAAGTTTGGAGTTTCAGCTTCAACATCAGTCCTTCCAATGAATATTCAGGATTGGTTTCCTTTAGGATGGACTTGTTGGATCTCCTTGCAGCTCAAGTGACTCGCAAGAATCTTCTTCAACTCCACAGTTCAAAAGCATCAATTTTTCAGTGTTCATCTTTCTTTATAGCCCAACTCACATCCATACATGACTATTGGAAAAACCATAGCTTTGAATACATGGACCTTTGTTGGCAAAATAATGACTCTGCTTTTTAATATGATGTCTAGGTTGGTCATAGTTTTGCTTCCAAGAAGCTAGCATCTCTTAATTTCATGGCTACAGTCACCATCTGCAGTGATTTCGGAGCTGAAAAGAATAAAGTCTCTCATTGTTTTCATTGTTTCCCACATTAATTTGCCATGGATGGATGGCACCATATGCCATGATCTCCATTTCCTGAATGTTGAGTTTTAATCCAGCTTTTTCACTCTCCTCATTTACTTTCATCAAGAGGCTCTTTAGTTCTTCTTCACATTCTACCACAAGGGTGCTATCATCTGCATATCTGAGGTTATTGATATTTCTCCTGGCAACCTTGATTCCAGTTTGTGCTTCATTCAGTCCAGTGTTTTGCATGATGTACTCTGCATATAAGTTAAATAAGCAGGGTGACAATACACAGCCTTGACATGTGCTCTTCCAGATTTGTAACCAGTCTATTGTTCCATGTCCAGTTCTAACTGTTGCTTCCTGACCTGCATACAGATTTCTCAGGAGGCAGGTCAGGTGGTCTGGTATTCCCATCTCTTGAAGAATTTCCCACAGTTTGTTGTGACCCACAAGTAAAAGGCTTTGGGTAGTCAATAAAGCAGAAGTAGATGTTTTTCTGGAACTTTCTTGCTTTTTGATGATCCAGCGGATGTTGGCAATTTGATCTCTGGTTCCTCTGCCTTTTCTAAATCCAACTTGAACATCTAGAATTTCACAGTTCAGGTAGTTTGAAGCTGGCTTGGAGAATTTTGAGCATTACTTTGCTAGCATGTAAGATGAGTGCAATTGTGCATTAGACCTTCCAATGAATATTCAGGACTGATTTCCTTTAGAGTTGACAGGTTTGATCTCCTTGCAGTTCAAGGAACTCTCTAGAGTCATCTCCAACACCACAGTTTAAGAGCATCAATTCTTTGGTGCCCAGCTTTCTTTATAGTTCAGTACTCACATCCATATGTGACTACTGGAAAAACCACAGCTTTGATTAGATGGACCTTTGTTGGGAAATTAATGTCTCTGCTTTTTAATACACTTTCTAGGTTGGTCATAGCTTTGTTTCCAAGAAGCTAGCATCTTTTAATTTCATGGCTACAGTCACCATCTGCAGTGAGTTTGGAGCCAAAATAAATAAATAAATAAATTCTCTCACTGTTTCCATTGTTTTCCCATCTATTTGCCATGAATGGATGGCACCAGATGCCATGATCTCTGTTTTCTGAATGTTGAGTTTAAAACCAGCTTTTTCACTCTCCTCATTCACTTTCATCAAGAGGCTCTTTAGTTCTTCTTTGCTTTCTGCCGTAAGGGTGGTATCATCTGCATATCTGAGGTTATTGATATTTCTCCTGGCAATCTTGTTTCCAGCTTGTGCTTCCTCCAGCCCAGCATTTTGCTTGATCATTCCACATATAAGTTAAACGTAAGGGTGACAATATGTAGCTTGATGTACCCCTTTCCCGATTTGTAACCAGTCTATTGTTCCATGTCCAGTTCTAACTGTTGCCTCTTGACCTGCATACAGATTTCTCAGGAGGCAAGTCAGGTGGTCTGGTATTCCCATCTCTTGAAGAATTTCCCACAGTTTGTTGTGATCCACACAGTCAAAGACTTTGGATAGTCAATAAAGCAGAAGTAGATGTTTTTCTGGAACTCTCTTGCTTTTTCTATGATCCAACTGATGTTGGCAGTTTGATCTTTGGTTCCTCTGCTTTTTCTAAACCCAGCTTGAACATCTAGAAGTCACATTTCATATACTGTTGAAGCCTGGCTTGGAGAATTTTGAGCATTATTTTGCTAACATGTGAGATGAGTTCAATTGTGCGGTAGTTTGAGCATTCTTTGACATTGCCTTTCTTTGGGATTGGGATGAAAACTGACCTTTTCCATTCCTGTGGCCATTGCTGAGTTTTCCAAATTTGCTATCATATTGAGTGTAGCACTTT